AAATTTTCGAAATCTAGCAATAACACATAATCCAAATTTTAGACCAACCATATCACAAAGTCCCATTCAACATATAATGACACATCATTCACTAGATGAAAATACATATGAACAAATTATAGAACAACCCCATACCACCGCTTTTCAATCTCAAAAGAATAATTTTTTTAGCCCACGATGAGCCGACAACTTGGAGCCCTACACCGCTCAAATTCCCATCCAACCAACCTCAACACTCCAATTACAATAATTCCACTTTTTGCTTTCCCGCCACCCGATTTCCCAACCAATAATGTAACATCAGGCATGAATTCAGACACTAATTCACATATCTCAGTTTTATACTCCATTTCACAACTCAATAACCCAAATATTGAAACCCTTGATGAATTTGCAGATTCTGAACCATCTCCATCCAATAATTTTCAAACCAACTCCTCAGTTTTTTCAAAACCCCCTTTTCAACCAATCCCACCAAATAACCCACTCCCATCCATTTCTACACCCTCTTATGCTTCACAAGTCACCCCAACCTACTCTTCATTTCATTCAGACCGATCATCCAATTCTCCAGATACTCCCCAAATCTCCCAGGAACATGATAATTTTAACACCCTACAACAACAACCCTTCCACCTTGAAAACCCCACTATAAACCAGATTTCATCCACAATAGAATCATCAAACCCACCTACCCCTACACCCTCTTCAGCTTATACCGCATCATTAGCACCATCATCCACATCCACCGAATCATCAATTAGCACTAATCGAGCTTACCGCACTTTCAAAAGAAAATTCCCAAACCATCCATTTCCATCAAAACCAGGAACAGCCCGTGAATATATTAATCATCCAAAACTAACACAAAAGATTTTTTAGCCATCACCTTACCCTCATTTCCACAGTATACATTGAATACCCCTAACGACACTAACGACACACGTAGTTTTGTAGATGAACAAGTTTTAATGCCTACACTTCATTGGACATCATATTATCATTTTACTAACCCCCTTTGCCTACCTTTATCTAATACTCACATCGATATAGAAAGAAATCAAGATATGCTATATCGACTCACCACACCACTAACACATAGACAATTTACTTATATAGGATATAAAAAGTCACTAAAAACATACACTGCACCCCGAGCAAACGAATATACGCTAGAATATTACGATCACAACATCATCCGAGCTAACCAAGACCAATTTTTAGATGATGATCGTTTCGCTAACCCACAAATCACAGAAAAATTCTTCATAAAAACACCATATGTATTTACACTCAATATATTTGATCGCAAATTCGACCACGTCATTTCTGAAGCACTAACCGACACACAAGCTTACGAAAGTTTTAAAGAAAAATTTCAATTATTTTCACTAACCTTTCATTTCCTTGCACCACATGAACGAGATTTGCACTGCTCACACGACATTATGTTACGCACTAAACAAACCCACACATATACATATTATCGCTTCATACAAAATCACTTTGATCTACACACTCCATCAAGACAACCACACCACCGTTTTCAATTTATTAACTATAAATACACATCACCATTTTTTCTTAACTTCACATATTGCATCAAAGATACTAACCTTCACGGTATTCTTCGCAATTATGACCCCATAACCCAAATGTATATTTTTTGTCCCATCACGAAGACCTTCAACGCAGAAGAATCCAGACCCTTCCTTATCCCACATGAATTTATTCAACCTATAGAAATCCCAATATTAGAATTCATCCACAACACTAAATACAATCCTAAATTATATAATCTCATCCAAAACACACCTTATGATTTTGCAGTTGGCACTGAAGAACTAAAAACCATTAAAGCACTTCAATTGCTTTGGCCACTGCTTCAAACTAAAAACATCATTCGCATACTAGCAAAATTACTAACAAATTCCGACATAATACACGACATCTTCCCCCACGGTTTTTTCCCCGACGACTAACAGGTAAGTATAATTTATACATATTCTTAACTAATAAATTCAAATTGAAAAACTAACCATTCTTTATCCATGTCTCTTTTAGATTTTTAGTCTTCATCTCACGATCATCTGCAAAATACACAAAAGAAAAATAAAAAATAGAAAACTTCTTCAAATTGTTCAAAACTCTAATAATCTTTTGCACCAGCTAAATTAAATAAAATTCATACCAATGTAGTAAATTAATTTATAAATTATTTCCCTAAAAGCAGTAATTCTAATAATGATGAAAATTTGTAACTTAATTTTTCCCCAAAACTAGCAGTAAAATTGAAATTCTATGTAGTAAATTGATAAAACGAAAATGCAGTACTAACCTTTTGATATTTTCATTCACTCGCACAAGAATTCTATCCAAACTCGCACAGCTCGCCCACGAAGAATTGTTTAAATAATGAATTTCAGTTTCAAGCTTTCACACTCAACAACTCTAACACACGATAACAAGTTTCAAACTTTCCTTTAACCCGGTTGGAAAGGAATTATATACTAAACAAAACTAACCAACGCAGCTTACTAAACACCACAACACATAGAATAACAGCATGACTAAGAAAAGGAAACCAACGGTACCCAAACCGGATTAACCCAGTTTAAAACTGGATAATTTATTCTTTTGAAGACTATTATAAAGTCTAAGAAAGAAATAATAAAACACAAAAAAGTCGAAAGACAAACCCATACCAAAAACAATTTGATTTTTTAAAAAAGGATACAACCAACGAAACATAAGAAAAACCACTATAAACCCAACATAAAACGTTATCACATAACAGGACCTCTCACAAAAACCGCACGAAATCATACTCCCACTCCTGGCCTAACCCACCAGAGAGGACGTCCTGAGCATGCTCTATAGCCGGCCTAACCCACCGCGCTACATCCACGCTTTGTGACCACACTCCTATTTTTAATAAGAGGTACTCAAGGGTGAGTAACTCTTCAAAATAACCGAACTAAAACAAAAAGCTTTTGTGAAAACAACTAACCAAAATCATAATTAAAACACCGAACTAATAGAAATTTTATAAAATGTAAATTACACCTTGCAGTATATAGATCAGCATACAACACCAAAGACGAACAGCCAAAGACAAAAGGACACCACTACACTCTAAAAAGAATGGCCAACCACAATCAATATGCCGTCCACAATCACAACTCAAAGGATTTAGAGTACGACTTGACTTCGCAGAAAAGGACTTCATTGAACTAGACCAATGACCACCTCGATGTTCAAGTATACGTACAGATCCGAGTAACCAGGCATCCCCTCCACGCACAATCTCCACGCCATTCCCAGACTAGGTTGAACACAAAAGAAGTTCTCTACATGGAACAGAAAAACCTATCAAAGCCAACCATTCTGAAATCAGATTTGAGTTTGTTGCGAAAACCCAGTCGTTGTCATGAGAAGACACAGCGATTGAACCTGGAACTTCTCTAACAAGAAAACCCAGAAGAAATATGATGTTCGCCAAATACCAACGTCCATCATCCATCCTTTGAATTGCAGAAAGACTATTCTAAAAAACTCTGTAAAACCCGGATGGGTGGAACCTGATCTAAACTACATTTTATGATTGGATAAATTAGATATTTTACCACTGTAAAGTATTTAATATTAACCAATCATGATCCATCTAACTAACAACCCACTTATTTGTAGGTGCTGAAATTACTTGTAATTTCAGCACCAGAGAGATTTGAATTTAACTTAGAAATTAGTTGCCTCTCCAAGAGAACTTCAGCAGCCGCAATAAACCAGTATACCCTAGATCTATTGAGCCTAGCAGAGACTAGTTAAACAACCTGAGACTAGAATAGTATAAGAGTAAGATTAGGATCGGTATTAGACTAAGAAGTTGCACGAATCTATCCGGCCGAAAATAAGATAGCGTGACGAGCAGACGGTGTACCCTATCCGAAATTACTCTATGAGTTAACCACATCGGTCCTAGCTCACTCCGGTTAAACAGTATTTTTTGCGATATTTAAGTTCTCTAAAGCAGTTAGCAATCAAATAAATAAAGTTTTAATTTCCTCATTATAATTTACATAGATCGCTCGAACATTTTTTAAAACAAATTGAGAATTAAAATAATTTACACTGTCCAAATTTCGTTCAGAATTCAATAGATCTGAAGCTTAGCTCTATTTTTTTTATTGAATTTGTGGTCATTTACAAGAACATAAACTATTGAAAATATCATTTTCAAAGTTAATGACACATATGACTCATTATGACACAAAACCGAGGTGAAAAATTATCTTTCAAGTTTGAGCGTAGGACATCATTTTTTTTAGATGACACAAAAAGTTTCCATGACAAATTTGAAAAATGTCTGAAAACAATATTCCAAATTTTTCTCCGAAATCCGCTACAATGTGATTATCAAAAGCTTGTTTGAAGCGTGATAAAAGTTGTGCGTTTTTAAGTTTTCTCGTATATCGGGGCGACTCTTTCGACTACTGACTGCTTTTTAAAACCAACTGCTTTTTAAAACCATGCTAAATATATATGTTTGAACTGTAATAGCGTGTGGAGAGGGTATTTCAAAAACGGGTAAAATAGATTTCGATATTTCATCAACTTTTTCAGTCAAACAGTACTCAATAAGATTTAAACCGCAGTCAGATCATTCAAGGCGTCGCCCTGATGCGAGCTTTTTATAACAAATGTTTCGCTTACAAGGCTACAAAATTTCGATATCAATATAAACCGATCATTTTACATGATTTGACACGACAATAGGTGACATTGTTGTATGTAAAACTATGAATAATTAAAACTACAAATATTGTTCATTTGACATTGAAGAAGCTAGGAACAAAAAATGTGTATTTGTCATTGAAGAAAACATAAAGACGATAGTTTGCATCGCTCCACTTATAACTATGGTTAAGTAAACAGCTAAAATATGTTTATTTGGAAATAAATATACAACGCATTGCCTTAGCTAAATAGCTTTACCAATTCGACAATAGTAAAGTCGACGAAAAGTTATATTCTCAAAAGTAACCAAAATGATTTTTACGCAATCAAATTTCTTTATGTTTCTCTCAATCTATCGTAAGTGAATTTTGTCGATTCTTGTCGCTACTTCTTGTGCACTGTTTTTTGTCTGGTTCATTTCAGTTGCGTTGTTTGCAACTCCTCTGCAAATACATTTTTGTGGAATCTCAAAAGAGCCAGCAGTTGTTTTTTGGGATGGAATACTTAAAAACACCATATAATTGATATGGTATTTGATTTCATTACTACCACACAAGGGGACGAAAACAAGCATAAACCTTAATTTATATTAAAAAAAATCGAATAAAAAAAAACAATTCATTTTATCAAAAGGTTAAAGTTCAATTCCTCTGAATTTTCTATTTTTCAGATCTCCTTATTGACAATGCTCGGAGTGCATATTCATTTGAATTTGTTTTACCGGACTCCAAAACCATACGCGGAGCAACCTGTCGCAGTTTTAGGTCAGTAAAATTTCGTTTTTTTGTAGCAACCTCAATGTGTAATTATGAGAGAATTTTTAACCTGATGTCAAGAAAATCATAGATTTTCGAAAATCAAGATTTTGGAAAAGTTAATAATCATAATTACAATAATATGAGTTGAACAATTGGATACTTAAAGTAAAAAAAGAGGTAAAACTTTTTTATCGATGCTTCATCTATGCAAAAAATGTTCTTCAATAATTCTCCACAAAAATTGAGGCTAATAATAAGTCTGTAAACATCAATGAGTAATTTGAAAGAGGAGTAATTTAAAAGCTTTTAATTGAGTTCTTTGAAATGTCAAAACTTATTTTCCCACTCATTTTGTCTCTTTACTGTTTTTCGGCTTTTTCAGACTTTCTAGGTTAGTTTGTTTGAATCAATTTTTGTTTTTCTCGAACTCCCTTATGCCTTGGCTCCTGAGTCTCAAAATTGTTTCAAAGTTTTGGAATAGTCAATATATTTAAAACCAATTGTAAGGTTCCTATTTTCAAGGGTAAAATCTTGACACGAATTTTACAAGAAAAATTACGACTAGTTCTGCACTGCAAAGTTCTCATCTTGTTTTAGCTCTTTCAGATTGATGAAATTTTACTCGAAAAAAAAATCAGCTTGCAATTTGTCAATTTGTATTTCAACAGTCAATTTTGTATTTTAGTCCCTATTTCTGCATGGTTCGATATTACACTTCCACATTCCAGCAACGTGATCCCTTCTGGAATGACACGTTTGCCATTGAAAGGATGAGTCGCTCAATATTCAGGAAAAATAATTGGTTTTCTTTGGACCCTGAGCTCGAGCCCTCAGGTTGCAATTTTAGTTATGATTTCATCAACCGCAAATTTTCGATTTAGTTATTTTAGTTTTTTATAACCAGACAAAGTGCAGATTTATGCCTCTTTACAAAAAAGAACACAGAAACTTAAGTTTTGATTTTTTGCCTATTTAAATCACCAGGTTTCAAGCGATCCATTAAGTTCAATTCTTAACTCGATAGAAAACAATTTCTCAAATGTATATCGGCCAAATTGATAATTTCAATTTTTTCCTTAAGTTATGGTTTTTTTTTAAAATATTTGTTTCAAAAAATTATAGAGCCTCGTTTTCACCACAATAGTTCTCGCAAGAGCGACTCTTTAACTGTTTTTTTTTCGGAAAGGTAGCTAACGAACCTCGAAACGTTCAATTCAATAAACATTAAAACAACAACTCTAATCTAGATCCTCAAATCATAAAATTGAAGGCTATGAGATTATAGTTGGCAGGAGCGTTATGGCAGGAATGTTATATAGATATTTTAACCTAATTTTCTGTGTTTTCTGTACAGGAACCATTTTTTTCTCATCTAAAAACAGAAAGAGTCTGTTTCTGGGAAGAATCATTAGAGATCAGTTCACTGCATAACCGCAACAAGAAAAACATGTTTCGAGCATACACAATAGCCCTAGCAATACAACGCAAATTAACTATTGTTATAACAAAAGTTGCGTTGCACTAGATTCGAAAGTTTCAGGTAATGTGTACTGATGGTTTGCACAACCGTCTATCCAATGGTTGTTCGGGGTTAGAGAACTAACAGTAGATTTTTTTTCTAGCTAGGAATAGCCTAGATGTAGATAATTCTGATAAGAAACTAGATGAGAACTAAAGAAAATTAAGAAAACTCGGTTGTCTGTCCATGGGAGTCCATCCCTGTAGCCAGTCCTGGCCTGTGAAAAAATTATTTCAAACTTTTGGTGGTATGGCACTAAACTTCTTGGAGCAGTCTTAGATTCCAGGCCTAGACTTTCATAGTTTTTGGTTGAATTTCTAAAACTGCAAAAGTTTTTGAATCTGCCCGAAATCAAAACAAGCCAAAGGCACAAGATTTTCCCATAAAAGAAAACCCATAGCTTATTTGGCAGAAAATCGCAGTAGAACTGCATTTGTAGATTGAATATTGAAAATAAAAATCAAAACTTTCACAAACTTAAAATAAGCAAACTGTTTTTATGAGCCTAAAAATGACTTTGCGGCGCTAAAAAGATAAGAACATATTTGGAAACAATTGATGATTTCCTGGATGGGTACTTGACAGGTGCCCAGGCCTGGTTTTTCCAGGATGTTTTTAAAACTTCTGGCAGGGTTCTTGGATCGCATGTGAGTTCAGGACTGCCACGATTGTCCGGGACTCTTGAGGTTCCTGGCAGGAAAACTAGGAATTTACTGTCGCTATGTAACCCGGGAATTCGTGTTTTATTTTATGAGTTGAACAATTGGATACTTAAAGTAAAAAAAGAGGTAAAACTTTTTTATCGATGCTTCATCTATGCAAAAAATGTTCATCAATAATTCTCCACAAAAATTGAGGCTAATAATAAGTCTGTAAACATCAACGAGTAATTTGAAAGAGGAGTAATTTAAAAGCTTTTAATTGAGTTCTTTGAAATGTCAAAACTTATTTTCCCACTCATTTTGTCTCTTTACTGTTTTTCGGCTTTTTCAGACTTTCTAGGTTAGTTTGTTTGAATCAATTTTTGTTTTTCTCGAACTCCCTTATGCCTTGGCTCCTGAGTCTCAAAATTGTTTCAAAGTTTTGGAATAGTCAATATATTTAAAACCAATTGTAAGGTTCCTATTTTCAAGGGTAAAATCTTGACACGAATTTTACAAGAAAAATTACGACTAGTTCTGCACTGCAAAGTTCTCATCTTGTTTTAGCTCTTTCAGATTGATGAAATTTTACTCGAAAAAAAAATCAGCTTGCAATTTGTCAATTTGTATTTCAACAGTCAATTTTGTATTTTTGTCCCTATTTCTGCATGGTTCGATATTACACTTCCACATTCCAGCAACGTGATCCCTTCTGGAATGACACGTTTGCCATTGAAAGGATGAGTCGCTCAATATTCAGGAAAAATAATTGGTTTTCTTTGGACCCTGAGCTCGAGCCCTCAGGTTGCAATTTTAGTTATGATTTCATCAACCGCAAATTTTCGATTTAGTTATTTTAGTTTTTTATAACCAGACAAAGTGCAGATTTATGCCTCTTTACAAAAAAGAACACAGAAACTTAAGTTTTGATTTTTTGCCTATTTAAATCACCAGGTTTCAAGCGATCCATTAAGTTCAATTCTTAACTCGATAGAAAACAATTTCTCAAATGTATATCGGCCAAATTGATAATTTCAATTTTTTCCTTAAGTTATGGTTTTTTTTTAAAATATTTGTTTCAAAAAATTATAGAGCCTCGTTTTCACCACAATAGTTCTCGCAAGAGCGACTCTTTAACTGTTTTTTTTTTCGGAAAGGTAGCTAACGAACCTCGAAACGTTCAATTCAATAAACATTAAAACAACAACTCTAATCTAGATCCTCAAATCATAAAATTGAAGGCTATGAGATTATAGTTGGCAGGATCGTTATGGCAGGAATGTTATATAGATATTCTAACCTAATTTTCTGTGTTTTCTGTACAGGAACCATTTTTTTCTCATCTAAAAACAGAAAGAGTCTGTTTCTGGGAAGAATCATTAGAGATCAGTTCACTGCATAACCGCAACAAGAAAAACATGTTTCGAGCATACACAATAGCCCTAGCAATACAACGCAAATTAACTATTGTTATAACAAAAGTTGCGTTGCACTAGATTCGAAAGTTTCAGGTAATGTGTACTGATGGTTTGCACAACCGTCTATCCAATGGTTGTTCGGGGTTAGAGAACTAACAGTAGATTTTTTTTCTAGCTAGGAATAGCCTAGATGTAGATAATTCTGATAAGAAACTAGATGAGAACTAAAGAAAATTAAGAAAACTCGGTTGTCTGTCCATGGGAGTCCATCCCTGTAGCCAGTCCTGGCCTGTGAAAAAATTATTTCAAACTTTTGGTGGTATGGCACTAAACTTCTTGGAGCAGTCTTAGATTCCAGGCCTAGACTTTCATAGTTTTTGGTTGAATTTCTAAAACTGCAAAAGTTTTTGAATCTGCCCGAAATCAAAACAAGCCAAAGGCACAAGATTTTCCCATAAAAGAAAACCCATAGCTTATTTGGCAGAAAATCGCAGTAGAACTGCATTTGTAGATTGAATATTGAAAATAAAAATCAAAACTTTCACAAACTTAAAATAAGCAAACTGTTTTTATGAGCCTAAAAATGACTTTGCGGCGCTAAAAAGATAAGAACATATTTGGAAACAATTGATGATTTCCTGGATGGGTACTTGACAGGTGTCCAGGCCTGGTTTTTCCAGGATGTTTTTAAAACTTCTGGCAGGGTTCTTGGATCGCATGTGAGTTCAGGACTGCCACGATTGTCCGGGACTCTT